TATTTTTACCAAAGAGACATTTAAAGAGAAATAACTGTTCTTGAGTGAGTTACATTTTATTTTAATATGCTCATGTAAATAATGATAGTCATTCAGCTGTTATGTTGGAGATGAGAACAAACTTAGAAGGCAACATAGTTAGGTAATAATATACAGAGATTTCTTTAAAGGAGTGCAAGTTCCTCGGGTTTGCTGTATTCATTTTTCTCTAAAGTGTTTTTTTCCCCACATGAGTGGCTTTCTATTTCCACTTCTTTTACATTTGCACTCTCTAAAGTCTAAGGTTATTGCCTACGGTATTTTGAGAAGTGCCTTCCCTGGAGGATTTTTTTTTTTTTTTTTGATAGGTAGCAAGGGACTGCTCTCAAATATAATGGTGAACATTTTGGAGAGATTTGTGATGTAATGTGCATCACAGGCATAAAGACCTTGTTTCTTTTCAAAGAAAAGTGGCAAAAGGCTGAGGCCTGATTTTCATCTCTGGCTGAGGTAACCAGCTACAGGAGCAGTCACTGAGACCTGCACTGGGTACTGGGCATCAGAGCAAAGCAGGTCAGTCGTGTCTGGACGAGGTGCTGCAGAAAATGGGAATAGAAACAGCACAGGCTGTCTGTGATGGTGGCAGAGTGTACACTGCATGCAAACTCCACCCCAAATCACTGAGTAACCCTCAACACTTTTATGTTTGTTTGCATTCAGGGTATCTGATGTGATTTACACTGTTTGGTTCCTTCTGCAGGAAAGCTGAGGCTTGGGAATGATTCAGGCTGAAGCCCTCCCTCAGCCTATGGACATGACTGGTAGCCAAAGGGTGTCAACCAGCCTTGGCCACAGTCTGTCAAAATTTCCTGATGGTCCTGCACAGTCCTGACCTGTCTCCATGTCCTAATGCTGAGTTGCACAACATGGCTACATCTTTGATGTTCCACCCTAAAAACCTGTGTATGGCACATGGCACTAGAGGTCTTCCAGAGAAATACTCTGATTGGCTTGGGGAAAGGGCCTTAGGAGCTGAGGACACGTGCTCTGCCCAGGAAGCATGCACTGTGTGGGAACTGGCCAGGCTTAAATTAAGCAGCCAAGGTGTGTGAACTGTTAAGGAACACCACTTGCCCTCCAGTCCTCTCGTCCTTCATTTGTGTATGACTTCTTGGCACAGCAAGATTTTCTATGCTCTTGCTGTCAGCAGACAGTTCTCAAGCCTAGCAGAGATTTCTGAGCATGTCAGACCTAATTCTGCCTAGGCACAAAAAATAAAATGACCCTCTCAGACCCTCCAAGCCTATCATGGATCTCCTCCCACATGTCCTCCTTCTAGAGAATACGTATTCCCCTGAATACATAATTCATGCTCATTGCAATGACTGCTGTCTATGCATACATGATGTAACTCTGTAGATTCAACAGCTGTGTTGCCCTGAGTTTATTACTGTTCTCCATCTCCTTTTTCCCATGTATCTGTAGTGGCATTTGTTGGCCTTTCCTAGCCAGGAGAAAATAGAAGGTTTGAAACCATATTTGTTTTGCAGTGAACAGACCAGCCCTTCCTCTAGGATCAGTTAACCACAGAATCACAGAATTATAGAGCCATATAGTGCTTTGGGTTGAAAGGAACCTTACAGATCATCTATTCCAACCCCCTACTCTGGGCAAGGGCACCTTTCAGAGGACCAGGTTGCTCAGAGCTTCATCCAACCTGACCTTGAACACTTCCAGGAATGGGGCATCCTCAGCTTCTCTGAGCAACCTGTTCCAGTGCCTCACTGCAAATATTTTTTCCTAATCTCTAATCTAAACCTACTCTGTCAGTTTGAAGCCATTCACCTTTGTCCTGTCATTCCAAGCCCTTGTAAATAGTCTCTCTCCATCCTTCCTGTAGGCTCCCTTCAGGTACTGAAAGGCCACAATTAGGTCACCCCAGAGCCTTCTCTCCTCCAGCTGAAAATTCTCTCAGCCTTTCCCCATAGCAGACCTGCTCCATCCCTCTGATCATCCTGGTAGCCTCCTCTGGCCTGGCTCCAACAGGTCCCTGTCCTTGCTATGCTGGGAACCCCAACACTGGCTCAGTTCAAGAGCCATCAACCTTCAGCAAGGATTCCAGCTTGTGTCAGTCCTCTGGCCAATGCTCAGGACTGACACAGGCACTTGAGGAGCTGCAGGCTGGTGGGTTCATCAGATAATACTGGGGACATAGAAACTGAATGCTCCATACAGCCATATTATAGCCTCCTCCTTGTTCTCCTCAGTTGTAGGCAAAAAATCTGCTTATTGCCTACCAGGAACCGAGGATCAGGGACACAAAATAATATCTCATGCAGGAACTCTTAAACCAAAGGAATATACTTGTACCATTGATGTCACCTATTCCTGGATCCAAAGAGTGTCATTGTACAAAGCAGTACTGCAACATACGCAGTATTTGCATGATGCAAATAATCTATTCAGAAGCTAACATAGCCCAAAACCTCATCTTTGAGCTGTGGAAAAGGCAGAGTGCTTGCCAGGCTGTTACTAGACATGTTGAGACTGCTTCTCTCTGACGTGACAAAAGGCTCAGGCATCTGTGACACTGTGACTCAGTTGTACAACTGCCATCAAAGCTGTCTTAGTACAGATACCAAGCTGCCACTGTGACCAAGGCACTGGATCAGTCTGTGCCATCTTCCCTTACCTGTTGGCCACAGATCTGTGCGTGTTTGTGTGGGCAGAAAGAATTGTACTGGCCTTGACTTCATAGAAAAGCTGATTTCCAGGCAAGGGGCAGGTTGTACTCATCCTGTGAACACTGTGACATCTGCAAACTGGCTTGTCTGTTTCTCAGCACCCATTTATTCTTTCAATATTGCCTTGTTATTTGTGCACCAGCCTTCTTTACAAATGGGTCTACCAGTGTCATGCAGCTCCATGACAATGCCAGAAATTATTTCAATTGCCACTATGTAGGAGAAAGTGCTGTGATATAAAGGCACCCTTTATATCACAGCTGATGAGCTGTAGGCTTCTGCATATCACAGACAAGATACTCGGGGTAGAATTGGTGAGGTTTGGGATGGAAAACTGAGTGGTAGGGTGGGTGAAAAATTATCTGGGTTCAGGGTCGTATGAGTGCTGTGAAGTCCAGCTGGCAGCCTGTAGTTGGTTGAGTCCCTCCCTCAGAGATGAACCTTCTCCAGAATTTCCACAGAACTTCCCACATTCTTCTTTGTGCTTCCTGTGCTCAGGGGCACCTCAGCAAAAAGAAAGCAAACCCCTCCGTGCTGATAGCCCCTTCACTGCTGCATTCACACACTCTGACTTTTAGAAGTGTTGTTACAAATTCTGGAGAGCAGGATTCTGCCTCCTGGGATCTGCAGGCTAGCCCACTCGGATCGTAGGGCTGAGCTGGCACTCAGCTCCTCTCTTTGATGGTAGAGCAGCCCTCCTTTAAAGTGATGCCAGCTGTGGATGGGGCTGAGCACGGGGCAGCACTGTTAAACACTGCTAACTTTGACCAGAGATGTTTTTGCTTTGGGGAGAAGGAGGCCTGCCACCACATGAACTTTTGTGGGGGTCACCAAAGTCTCTCTGAGTTGTGGCTTTCACTGTGGGCAGCAGCAGCACACGTGTCAGTAGTCAGCCCTGGAGAGTCTGCTGCACCTGCACCACAGCCCTGCACAGGCAGGAAATCCCCACTGCCTAAAGGCCAGAAGGGCTGCCCTCCTTAGCTCTGCCTCTGCTATTACTGACTGGTTTTGCATCTCTTTGTAACTGCAGTTACAAATAAGAGACTTGAAAATATTATAGTCCTCCTTAAATGTAGAGGAAGGTTAATAAAAATGAAAAGGGACGTGACACTCTTGAGCAAGTGACAGAGAGGAATAAATCCTCTACTGCTTTCTTCTCTTCCCTATCTCAGGGACATTTTAAGGATTACTTGAAAGTCACTCAGATCTCCACTAGACTTTTTCCAAGAGTTCCTAGAATGACCTTTTCAGATTCAGATTACCCAGCACTTAAACCAGTTGGAGGAATGCTTCTGCTATTCCAAACAGTTTAATCCACGATCAGTGTGATTAATGAGATCACCAAGAGAAGAAAGAAAGTTGGGTCTTCTTCTCGTAGGAAACATTTTTTTTTTCTTTGTGGCATAAAATTTCCTCATTCTTTTTCTCAGAACAGTGTGAGAGAGAGGAAGTGTCTCAAGTTTGAGATCTAATCTGCTCTGCCTTCGCAGGCAGCTACAAAAGTCTCAAACAAGTTTTCAGTTGATATATTTTTCTAAATAAGAAGCCCTTTGGACAAAGCCTTACTGATTACAGATCAGAGTGGTTACAACTCATGCCCTTCGTTCCCAACTACTTAACCTTACACCTGCATCCCCTTGCCATCAGCCAATAGGCACAGTTTCATTCCTATGAAATATAGCAGCTGTTGGGTATTTTACTTTGTTGAAAGCTTTGCCTGTCTCACTGCAACTGGCTAGTTGGAGGCCTATTTTCATTTGCAAACCTGTGCAAATAACATTTCTCAAAGGCACAGCTCTGGTCTCTGTAATTGTTAGTCCTTGATCCAGCTAACTGAGCTGCTTCTTGACAGTCACAGTCATATTTAAGCTCACCTTAACATACTTTTACAGGTTTTGCAGATGGCTTCAGAACCTGAAGATTCAGTGCCTCTGCCACAAAAGCCAAAAGATAAGCCCCTCTGAGAGGAATTCAAGCTGAATTTAGTCCTCTAGAATGAGGAGATGATAGAAGCCAAATCAAACCCATTATTTCAGACTTTAAGTCATATTAAGTAGTGTCAGTACTGCATGTCATGATACACCACTGGCTGGAAGAGCATTAAGAAACAAATGTAGCTGCCTGATACAAGCTCTCACATCCTTCATCCCCAAGGGCTCTGCATCCCCACCATGCCTGGCAGTATGAGGTCATTGCTGTTAAATGATGACATCTGTTGCTGGTATGAAAAGTGAGTTAAAACCAGAAACAAATTATAGTAGCTCCCTTTCTGGTGTATTTTTTCTAAACAGAGTTTATATATTCCACATCTTTGAAATCTTGTTAATGCAGTTTTCTAAAATTGCAATTTTTATACTGCAGTCTTCAAAGCAGATTTGTGTATTAGGAGTCTGACAGCAGTAGTCTTTTGAGAAGTCATGAAAAGTACAGAAAACACTTACATTGGGGAAAAGAGAAATAAAGGGAGAAAAGCTTTCCATTTGTTTATAGCTTCTTCAGAAATACTGTTTTTGGGGTGGAACATTTTGTGTTTCATGTCTTCTGAAGGTGATTTTCTTTCAAGCTGTCAGCAATATGTGGAAACTTTTTAACATAAATGCAAAATTCCTTAAATTGTGTGAAAACTGTGACTAATGACTGAGAAAAAAGTCTCTCTTATTGATTTGATACACAGATTCTTATGCATGCTAAAAATGCTCAGTGGAATTACTATTTACTGTGTTAGTCATAGACGAGAGCAGAGCAGTCTTTGAAATGCAATGACTACTTTAAAAATCAAGTATTTTTAAAGGGCTTAAACACATGATTCTGTTTATTATTGAAGGAAGTACTCTAAAAGAGGACAGGCAGTTAAAATGTGTATTCCAGTGTGAAATATACTGGGAAAAGACAATAAAATCTCATATGAAAGACAGTCATGTACAATAACCATGTTAGCTTCCGAGTTCTGTATACAAACAAATACTCTATTAACAAACTTCACACCACATACAAAAAGAAACATCTTCACAAAACGTTATCATAAAAGCATAGCATTGATCCTGTTTTTTTTTTTTTCTCCGAGTTTGGATTCTCTGTATAATGCTTGGGACAAATGAGAACAGGTGGGAAAAGAACCATTAAAAAATTGCCACTGCATAAGCCATCCACAAGACAAGGATCACAGAGAGTTGAATTCAGATTCAGCCTACAGTTCTCTCATGCCTCCAGGAAAAAGTACAGGAAATGACAGCCTACTTTAGAGCTCATTTTGGAGAAAAGTGGTGTGAAACAGCTTTAATATTAGTGAGAATTGGCTTGGTACTTTCCAAAGTAGAGTGTGACGGTATCCACCTTTTTATTATAATGATGTATAAATGAAAATACATTCCGTTCACAAATCAGCAAAACACAGCTGAAAATAGAGACAATATGATCAATCCATATATTTTTAAAATAAATATGTACAATATTTACATTTTGGACAGTTCCAGAAATGAACATCTCCAGTATGAACTACTACTTAAAAAAAATTCTCAAATATTATAGAAAATGCATTCGCTGTACAAATATTTATAAATACTTTTGTATAAACTTTTTCAGGGAAATACTTGTGAATTCATTGAGAAGAAAAACATGAGAAATTCTTATTATCAATTAACATTTAGCTATCAAGTGAACACATATGAAACAGAACATCGTGAATCAGAAAAACAGTAGATTTTCAGTGTTGAGAATATTTTGTGTTCTGCATCTGTGTCATCATACTGACAAACGTGACTGTCTTTTCTGAATATCTGCAGAAAAGCAGCAGGACTGAATCAGTTTGACTCACTGATTGTTATTGACTGCACCATGTCAGACAGGGCTTCTGAGTCGGCTTCTTCTTTACCATTATCTGAATTTTCTGATGAGATGTAACAGCCAGAATCTCTCGGACACTCATTTAACTGTGATTTGTCAAAACTCTGGTGAGGGCTTAAGTTCTGCGTCTCCTGACCACCTTCACTTTTCTGCTGTTCTTCAACTAGAAAGAACAGAAAAAGAAAGAAAAAATTGTCAATACAAGTACCTTGGGAAAGAGCTGAGATAGCAGCATGACTGCTCCTGAAGAACTTTGGAAACAGAGCTGGTAATCTACACATGACTGCATCAATATCTTTTGTCCATCAGAAACAGATACATCAGCATCAGAGAATTAGCAGTATGATTACACGAGTGTAACAACATCTGAGTTGACATTGAGGTTGGTCTTTTTCCCTCGGGATGTTTCTCAGAGAGGGATGCTGGGGGCTTTGGCCGTGCCCGCAGCAGGGATGGAACCTTTCCCCCTCCTGTGCTCGCGTGTCTCAGAGTGGGATGCTGAATTAACCACAGAGCCCACTGTGCCGTGTTTATCGCACACTGCACTATAGATCCGTGTCTTTTGAGTGCAACCCCCGCCACCTGATGTGCTCTCTGCAGGGAGAGAGATCGTGCTGGCCTTCAGAGTGCTGGGCACAAAGACGCGCTGACCAGCTTTTCTAAAGCACCGAGCTTTTCAGCAGGAGTGGGCGGCCGATGGAAACTTCCTGAGCTTAGCTTGATATCCAGAAGGTTATTTTCCAAAACACAGAAACCTCAGAGGAAGTTAAGATGCCTAATTTCTGCTGTAGGGTTTTTTGAAATCTGTTCCAAAACTAAGTAGAAGCAAATTACCTTGCAAATAATTTGCCCTTGTTTAGCTGCTGTATGACCAATCTGTTCAAATTCAAAATTCTGGAACTCAGTGGCAGTATCAACAGACCTCTCAAGAAAAGCTCAACAAGAGAGGACATACATGTATATAATGACTCTTATATGTACTGGTTTTAAATTTCTTCTTCCTGTTCTCTGGCTGTGAAATACATGTTTACTCACAGTAAATTTCTTAAGAAAATAAAGTATGAAATACAAATATTTCCATTTCATACATTTTTTCTTGTGCTGTTACCTTGTGCTGTTATTCCTTTAGCTGTAGTTTTACTTCAAACTGTATGTGGCTTTCCAAACAAAGTATGGGGAACACATCTCAGAGGAAACAGATGGTTTTGCTCCAGATTTTTAGCCTATCAGAAAAATGCTACCTTTGTGCTTTTGCAAATAAAGTTCCCTTCTTCCACTTGATTTGTTCCTCCTTGGTTAAACAGTCAGATCTGGATCTTTAGTCATATTTAAACTCTCTCAATTTAAGTTCGAGCAGATTGGAGGTCCAAAGATAGGAAGGATTTAATGCTGTGTCAAAATCTAAATCTATTTTAGTTACTAGAATTTTAAAATTTCCTCGAAGAACACTCACGCTGACTTTTATTTCAATTGTTGGAAATGATAACATTTGGTAAAATGACAAAGATTGTAAATTTGATTTTTTTTTCTAGCTTGTATTGAATAACACAGAATAAATTAGAAATGAAAGACTGAATTTTTTTCACTCTTTTATAATGAAATGGAACAGTGGGAGAATTTCTTTGGATACATTTTTCATTGTGTGAGATTTCAACAGCTTATTTCACAATGTATTTTGATTTATTGAGAAGCATTTTGAGGTCTTGATGGAAATCTTGTAGATTTGCTTGGCCTGATTAAATCTGCCTAATATCTTCCAACTTCCAGTTGCCTAATAAATTGAAAAACTAAGCCGATATTTTAAAGAATCCAAGGTATCAACTTAGTTATTTTTCAATAAAGTCTGAGGGTATAGGCATAACCAGATGTATTTAGAAGAATAATAAAACAATCACTTTAAATATTTTCCAAGGAATAAAAGTTCCATCTTGTTCCCAAATAAATTAATGGTTAATTGCACTTGTGTGAAAGAGTACACGTTGCAGCAGATTTAATTGATATCTGTAACTGTTTGATCTCCTTCTCACTTTACAGAGCACAGTTTGTCATGTCAAATGTTATCTCTCTCTTTGCAGGGAAAATATTTGATCATGTAGGGTTCCAATTGATTTCTGATTGAAGTCAGGAAGGAATTACAAAGGCACCACACGGGTGAAGGTATTCCCGCTGCTGTTGGCAGCGACAGAAGCAGCTCAGCACAAAAGACAGGGATGCCCCAGCAAAGCCTTGTCCCGAGCGTGTCTGCAGCTCCTGGCAGCACCATCCCACCGGGGCCAAGGGAACCGAGCCCTGTGCAGCCCTGGAGCCCTCCTGCCCTGCTGCCTCCCCCCTAATCCCCTCGGCTGCCTAATGCTGCTTGCTGCCTTCTCGTCTGCTGCTCCAGCATCATCTGCTGCCCTGGCAAGCACTGACCTAAAAAGTGTTAATCCTGTTTACATTTTCAAGGTCAGAGAGGAGCCTCCATCCACTTTGTTTGTTTTACAATGGAAAGAAGACTGAGTAAGTAGTGGATTAAAAGGAAAATGTAGTCTCGGTCACTGTATTAGTGCCTTGTAACTGGCTGTCTAGATAATCTGAGCCATTCCTATGTGAACAACAGATCTTAATTTTTTTTTATCAATGTTTCCTTAATGTGTTTCAAGGAAAATTGCACGAAAAACTGAAAACTGAAAATATTCAGGTGTTTGAGACAGTAAAAATGTTATATTTTCTATTTTTCATTCTAAGCAGAAGTTGGAAGAACAGCCCTCCCTCTCCATTTTTATGAAGAAAAGACTGAAAGCAAACTTTGGTGTCTTTTTTTTTTCTTTAAAGCAATCTTGAATATCATGCAGTAGCTACTAAACCACTTGAACAGGATGCTGAGTATTATAAAAATACATTGCATGCAATTTTAGAAGTTGCCGCATGAGAAGAGCAAAGCAAAAGTTGCTCTTTTTTTTTTTTAAGCTTTTTGGCTCTTCTATTCTGCTTTACTTAAGTCATTTCTGTAACATGTACACCCTCGAGTTCTACATTAAGAAAGGTAGGTTTGCTGCCTTAATCTTTTGGACATCAGAAGAAAGCCACGCTGCACAGAAAACAGGAATTGATAAAATTAAACTGCCGTTAGATGTTGCAGAATCATCAGAAATAACTATCTTATCAACAAATGGAAGTCCTATCATTTTTCTACAGTAAAGCAGTTTCACATAAGATAAATGGCTCTCAGTCACTGTTGTCTATGATATGGCCAGAAGAGCCCAAGATATGCATCATTTTGACACATATATTCCAGTACTCTTTTAGACAGTAGGATTATATTCAGACTTCTGAAAAAAATGTGAGGCCTTTAGCCTTGGTAAGAGATGTGTGATGCATCCCTTATCTTCCTCACTATTTAGACCCTTAAAATGAGTTTTTGTTATTCAATGACTTAGATGTGCATGACACGCACAAGGATAGATTTCCTTTTTCCTTCACCAGCGCTTTTTCCCTTCCTAATGAGGTTAAAGTCCTGATTAGGGAAGCACTTTAAGCTTGGGTTTAAGGGAATTCAACTCAAGAATGCACAGAGGTCACTCTGACTTCTGTGCAGTTATGTCAGTTTAAACCAGATGAGTGGCAGGAGGCTTGGATTTTGTCTTGGGCAAAAATAAGGTCATAAAAGAGCATACCAAACTTCATGAGTGTGCTGTCTGAGGGTTTGCCTTTGTGAATCTTGTCCAGGAGAACTGGGCTAGGAGCACCATGCTTTAGGCTGAGTCACTCGCCTGCCCTCCTGGGAGTTGCAGTGGTGCTGTACTGATCAGTACCTTACAATAACTAAAGACTCAAAATCACAGAGTCACAGGATACTTGGAACAGACCTCTGGAGATCATCTGGTCCAACCCCCCCTGCCAAGGCAGTGTCACCTGGAGCAGGTGCATGGGAACGTGTCCAAGTGGGTTTGGAATGTCTCCAGAGAACGAAAACTCCACACCTTCCCTGGGCAGCTGCTCCAGTGCCCTGCCACCCTCAGTGCAAAGAAGTTCTTCATGTTGAGCTGAAACTTCTTGTGGTTTAGTTTATGGCCATTGCTCCCTGCCCTGTCACTGGGCCCCACTGAACAAAGTGAGTTTTGGAGGATGAAGCCAGACCTGTGTATGCACATAGGTCATGTATCACCTGTACCACTTAGACCATCTAAGTGTGAAAATGAAATGAGAACTCACAAAGCATCAAACTCAGAAAGGATCATTTTGGAGCAGTAAAGGGAGGTAGTTCTTGGAAAAGATGCAGAAAAGCCTGAAGTGCAATACTATGGGCATTCAAAAGACTAAATATTTGTGGATATTTACAGATACGCAACTTAAAATATTGCATTCACTGAGGGAAAAGTTCTTGGACTTATGTGAGAACTTGTGGTGAAAACAGAAATGAGAAGCTTCTTTTTTATCTAAAATCTGAAAGCAAACAGATGTGCCTGAAAAAAAAAAAGGTGAAAAATACTAATATCCATGCAAGGATAAGCTTTCTTGGGAAATCTGTCAATTTTATGTTCAGGCCAATGAGTTGTACCACGCTGTAAAAGGGGAAATTGTGTTTGAGCACTATTTGACCTTGACAAGATACTGTGTGATCCCATGCATTGAAAGGGACTGCCCAGTGTAAAATGAAACTCTGGGTGCCTGATTCTCACGTAAGGAATGTGACTGAAAACTGAAAGTTGTGTCCTTATCTATCTCCTGTCTTGCTGTCCAAGAACAATTAATAAAGAATAAACCTTATTTGGTATTAGTAGTGGAATTTAAAGTATGATCTGCACTTAAATATGGAAAGTAAGCTAAGGAAATGGATTTGGGGAGATAAGTAAATATGATAAGATACATATTCACCTTTTGGGGTTTTTCCATAAAATTAACTGAATGCACATATCCAATGAAGCCTAATTTTTCTTTAGCTCAGAATAGCTTTGGACTAGTGTAACCCAGTGGATTTCAGGGATGAACTTGTTGATTTAAATCATCTATGTGAGAAGAGAATCAAGCCTATTTTGCACACACACAAACGTGTGTCCTGGGAAGCGGTCAAGAAAAGAAGTCCCAAACTTCTTTTATTACTTTATTCATTAACCATCCTTCACTTTGAAATGCTTTGCTTTAAAAATAGCATCCTACAAAAGCACAGACATCCATCTCCTGTCTAGAAGCCATCTGGGAGAAGAATGGAAAGCTATTAAGAAATACTTTATGAAACAACTTTTTTTTTTTTTTTTTTCTCACAGCCATGAATTCATGGAAACCAAGACTTTTGCCCCAAGTATATAGGTCTGACCAACTTATAGAAAATCTAAAAAGATGTCTGAGAAGGGGTCACGAGGAGCTTAAAAATCCTTGCAGTTCTAGGATAGCCTTACTACATGAAGTACTTGAAGATGATGAATTTGGGCCTGGACTCCCAGGCAAGGAAGAAAGAAGATAGTGCAGTAATAGAAAGAAAAAATCTGCTTTAAAAACACTGTGTCACAGCATTTGCTAAATAAAACTTACTCTTTTAAATTCATGCTATAAGATGGGAAAAATTTATTCTTTCAAATTCATTCAGGTCTAAATCAAATGTAAGATTTAAAAAAAAGTCACTGCCAAAAATCCTATATTTTGCATGGCTTTAAGTAGCATATAATGTGGAAACTACTGCTTCAGGTCTTTTGGTTAGAAAATTCAATAAATGTTTATTCTGCAAAATGAATTATACACCGTGAGTATGTGTCATGAAGAAATTACTTAGTATAACATACAATAAATGCCAAGAAAAAGCCAAGGAATGACAAAGAAATTAAAAGCCTTGTAAAAACCTCTGGACATCTCACAAGATCAGATTTCACATGAAAGAAATATGAAATCTTGTCTTACTGCATTTATAGGAGGGTCTAGTAAAATGAGGCTATGTTCCAGCACACTTGGCTGTTCTGAGTAATAGCAGTGTCACAAAAACTCAGAAACCCTTGTATTTCAACTCTGGGCCATACCTGACTCTCCATCCATTATTCAAACACGTGCTTCATGAAAGCATGAATGGAATGCAGAGGCATGGAAATCTTCCAAGCTCTGTGAGAAAGATGGGCCTGGAACAGTAAATACAGTCTATAGCCTTAGCTTATTTTTTCAGAAAGCTTTTTTTTAAAAAGTGAACTTTTTACCTGGAAAGTGCTGAAATTCTATCTAGAATTCTCCTGGCCAGTAAACAGATTACATTGTAGCTGTGGGTAATTATGCAGCTCACTTCTAAGCAATGCAGAAAATCAATTTTAATTAAAAAATCATTTATGCTGGACTGAGCCATGCCCATTTAGGAAAAAAAAAAAATTGACCCAGGAAAGTTCAGTCCAGATGCAGAATTCACTTTCACAGTAGCACCCAGCTCTTTCAACCCAATTTTCCAATCTGATTGACAGAAGGACAGAGAGGTCAAATGATTAGTACAACGTCAGACTCATGCGGAGCTTATCCCCAAGATCATCTTGACTCCCTGTCTTTTGTTATAACAACTTAACAGATAGCTTCTATCCATTTTGGTCTTTAGTATCTTCCTTTCTGGAACAGGTTGTTCAGTTCTGTCCCCACCAGTCATGTGACAAATGCTCTGATCACTTTGCAACCAGAGGAGGAAAGGATTCAAGAATCAAACTAGGACAGTATTTACTCCTGGCTTACCTTAAAATAGACACGAGTCTTACAGAATTTAACTAGACTTAAATGAATGCTTATAGCTGGCATGACACAAAAGGATGTTGTGGTTCTGGTCCCTGTGAGCATTCATAAATTCTGGGAAAACTATTTGATTGAATTTGAATAGTGGAAAGATTTGCTATACCTGTCTAAAGTGCATGTGAAACAAATGTTCATTTCATCTCTTGAAATAAGACTACAGTGTTGTCACTGATTCTGAAGCATGGACCACTTTATAAGATTTAATGTAATTATTCCCAGAACTGTTACAAGAATTTGAACTATTAGACTACCATGCAGATAAAATCAGGGACACTGTTTTGCCTGGAGAAGCAACTTAATCCTACACTGCCAATGTAGGAAGAACCCAGTTTGGATAATAAAGGTGAATATATTAATTTTCAGTATATGGGACATGTAAGGACCTTGTTAGGTTTGGTTCTTGCACAGGTGCATTAAGTGTCAAGACACCTTCAGTATCAAAAGCTGCCTGCTCTGCTTTTTGTTACCCAGCAAATACAAACAGCAAACTATACTCTCACCACTACAGAATACTTTGGCACTCGTGTGGTCTGTTGGAAACCATTACATTTCGGTTTGGCTTTCACAGTGATGCAAAACTGCAAAATTACAAACTAGCATTTTTCTTTACTGTTTTTCTGGTGTTAAATATGTAAAAACATTCACAGTAAAAGGTGCAGAAAGTGCAGCAAGGCTGGTTTCCACAAAAACACTCTATACTCAGCATATACTTTTTCAGGTGACTTCCTGGCAGATCTCTGTGATAAAACTTCTGCAAAATGTAACCCTTTTTTTTCTGGATGCACTCTTTCAATCATTGCTTCTACATAGACAGCCCTTCAAGAGTTCTTTTCAAACCTGCCATCTCACAAAGCTTTAGACCAGAAAGAACTTCTGAACCTGGAGGTCAAAGAGAACCTTTCCAATGCCACTCCAACACATCTGCAAGAGCCTTTCTCTGGAAGCTGAATAAGAACAGGAACAACTTAATGTACAAATGGGGTTCCAAAAAAATCCCATTCAGTAAAAAAAAGAAAAGCTGCCTACATACTGAGGTAATAATAAGTGGATGCCTGACAAAAATGGATATTAAACTATCCCAGGAAAACATTGTTTTTCTTTCTCTCTCTTTCCTATGTTTCTCAATTGGAAGTGCACATTTGATGACATGACTGCTCAGCATAGGGGGACTATGCACAAATATTAATGAAGACAAAAACCCCTCCTGTTTTGGCTGAGTGTCTAATTAAGTAGATACTTAGCTGTAGTTTCTACAAAATTGACATAAATTATTTACAATTCGAAGTCAGACTGGAAATATCATTAAAATAGCATGAGAAAAGTTTTCCTGTTCTGTGTCCTAGCTTTTCCACTCCCCACAAAAGGAACTATTGAAGAAAACAAAATAGTAATCAGTACATGTGCATATACACACCCTATATGTTCAACTCTTGGAAGCTCACCAGAAACACAAGTTAGATTAATTTTGAGAGAAAAATGAAAATCAGCTATTAGTGGTTTTGGGGGTTTTTTGGTTTTTGTTTACAATACTTTCCTACCAAAAAAAAAAAGCTAATTTGGATAAGGATTTAAGTGTGGAATGAAGTGAGGGAAAGAAAAAAATTGTAATTATCTGCAGAATGTTGTTCAAAAAAAATAAAGAAAGTTCTTTACTGAAGCCATTTGAATTAAGCTCTCTTTTGGTTAAGATACATATACTGTTAACAAATCTTTAACACTTACTGTCACAGTCGTGTAGACTTTCAATTACTGATAACAATCTTGCCCTGTCTTCTGGGTTGGAAATATTTAATTCAATAAGGTGGCTTTCCTGTAGATCCTTTAAGTCCTCTAGAGTTTCATAGCCATTCAGCAGGAGGCTTGAGGCATATTCCTACGAAATGAAACAAGCACTGTGTTTAGTGGAGGAATAGGCACAGTTTCACTTTTTCTTTTAGGCCAGGTTGAAATGGGCTCCAGTCCACTTGACTTAGCTTTGGTAGAGGTGGAGAGCAGGAGGGAGCAGAGGCAGAGATGCCTGGGAGCCCTCCTGGCCATGCCAGCATCTGTGCCTGAGCTCCATAGCACAGTCCAGCAGTAAACAGCACCAGGGCAGAGCTCTTCCAGAAATTATTTAATCTGCTGAGTGTCTGGGCTTTTGTGGGTCACTCCATGAGTGTCTCCCACACTGAGCCCAGGAGAGCCTCTGAGGAAAGGAGTGCTCTGCCTTTTACAGGAGGAGCCCCTCGATACCAGCAAGGGGAGAAGCAGAGGGAGCCCTGGACTCTGCTGTGTCACACAAGGTCCCCCTTGAGCTGTGTGTTGACTCAGTACAAAACTCTGTGCATGCTCCAGGGAAAGGAGTGTTAGCATCAGCAGCAAAGCAATTACCCTTATTAAAAATGTTACTTGTAAATCATGACCTCATTACACTTTGACACTCAGTCAAGATCTAGGGTTGCAGAGAGCGAGAGAGGCTCAACATGAGCATAGTGCAAAACCATTGCTGTTCCCTAAAGAACATTAGGAATTAGAAACATAAATTCTCAGTTTTGGTGCTGGAGTCAGACTGCAGCTGTGTCCCTGGAATGTCCACAGCCACACACCTCCTATACTTAAGCACACAGCTGCAGTCAGGCTGACCTGACAAGTCACCAGTGTCCCTCTCTGAGTGGAGTCTCCTAGCCCAGCCACATGATGAGGTCAAATGCAGTTCTACAAGCCACTCGTGATGCCTTTCCTGGTCTTAAAAACTGAGAGCCAGGCATGGTTAAGGGATAGGAGGTTTTTACCTCTGTATTTTAATAAGGTGCACCACTTTGCCAAGGTGGAATGTGCCACAGTGCACACACACGATAGATCCCATATACAATTTATAGACCTTACAAATTAACATATCTAACAAGGATGCCCCAATGGGAGGCCTGGATGAAAGGTGTGATATTCCCCCATCTGTGGAATTTCCCCCTGGATGGGCCAAATCTCTAGTTTACAGGATATGTTCTAGAGAGGTCCTTGGTTTCCCTAGATAGTGTAGGGTCTTCTGGCCTCCTGCTATGAGGCCTTTAGGATGTTTGGTCTCCTGGCTTAACAAAATACTAGGGCCACGCTAAGTTATCAGACTTAAGGAATTACAAGGTAATTCTTTCTTTCTCCTTTTTCTTAAGGAAATACAATCTTGCATGCTAAGAATATTGAGGATACACTGAAGTTATATAAAAGGCAAAACATCATCTTGGCATCACTCACATCAGATAAAAGACAGACACGAGGTTGCTTTGCTTTGCATTGCTGACATCAAAACTGCTGAAACCTGCCTTTCTCCTCCTGCCTGTAAATGACATTCAAACCCGAGCGCACAGAGAGGGAACGTTTCAAATAGAGCTGGGAAATGCCTTGGCTGACCTGCAGGTGGACACATTCCAGGAGCTCTTGCAATGTTTTAGGCTTGGTCCTTTTGCTTCCTCTGCATGGGTTTATCTTTCTGGGTGCAGCTTCTTCTTCCAAGATAATATCCACGTAAATGAACTTGAAATTTCCTACTTTGTTGTTCAGCATGCCAGTCCATATGCCCATGGGAGTTTTGCAGATGATATCTATGATGTCTCCTTTCTAGAACAATAAAAAAAGCACACCACTGCTTACACCTCTGGTTTGTTATATGTAGCTTTTCCTCTATGGACCAAAAGCAGCACGAGTCAGTATGAAAATTTTTTTTTTTTATTACCTAGATTTAGTGCCTTTGCTTTTATAAAATCCCAGGAAAATAATTACAGAAAGTGGAGCATGTCCTTATCTCCAAACCTTTGCAAAGCAGACGTGAGCATAAGCAGCCTTCTCACTGTTTTGTGCTCTACTTGGTCCCTGAAAAGGGATAGGGTTGCATCAACAATTAACTTTTGTCATGGGAAGTGGGCATAGTTTTGGCAAAGAGCAAGGAATTACTGTAAGGTTATTTTCAAAATATGTGCCATAGCATTTACAGAATAATTTTATTATCTGGCCTCTCAAGGGTCTTCAAAAACAGATAGCTGACCTATGTGAAAGGTGGACTCCTATTCATTTTACAGTAAAAAATGGTGACTACTCTTCTCAAAGATAATAAAGAACATTTAACTCCCTTTACAAATATGAGTGCTTACAAAGGTGACAACACAGCTATTTCAAGAGGGTTTTTTGGTAAAGGTTTTCACAGCCACACTGTGGGAACCAAGGTCTCAGCTCAGGAAAATGGTCATTCTGAGTAATTCTCATAGTAAAAAAGCTCTTACAAAATCATACACCCTACACAACTTGCTCTGAAGGACCTCAGAAATGAGCCCTCTCTTGGCACATATCACAGAAAAACGTTGAAAGCCTTTGAAAAGTTATCCAAAAAATGCCTTCTTCGTTTGAGATGCTGTTACAAAGTTAGAAATAAAACTCAGTTTGTTAAGATGTGTCCACAACTCCAAGAATTACACCTTTTCTGGTCTGGTCAAGGACCAGCAAGTCAAGTGGTCACCCTAGTTTTGGTACAAACCCAAGTACAAAATTGATTGTGAGCTGGTGACCTGGTTTAGTTAGAACATGGGGGCTCAGAGCTGTGAGCACATTTGAAATGGAAACTAAACAAACATTTATTTAAATCTCTATAAGCACATGTTATTCTACAAACTCATGCATTCAGATGTGGATGCAGGTCAGGATTAGGCAGTGGCTCCAAGCCAAGCTGCAGAGGTACTTTGAATTCAGATTCAGGGTACTGAAATTTTGTGTGATAAATATAGGGAATTTCAACCCTAAGTATTCGTTTATCATTCCAAAATACACCACCCTAGTGACTAAAAAAGAAACCTGTGTGAGCCAGCAGATATTTGCCATTTCATGACCAGTTAAATAGTTAAAACAGTTAAGCTGCATTAAAAGAAATGCCCTAGATGTGGGTGGAAGTGGAGGGCAAGTGCTGAGGGCTGCAAGTACCAGCAGAGCAACAGCTCTCATGTAGGCCAGAGAGGAGGAGAGGGAGTGTGTGTGAGATACAGGATTTGGCAGAAACGAGAAGCTGTGAAGAAGAAAAGAGTCTGAAGGGCTGGGTTTTTTTAGTAATGTTCAACTGGGCCCCTGTTTATTGCTCCTCTTCCTCACTCACTCAGCCCAGACAGCCCTTGCCATGTCTGGGCTGAAGAACATGCATAGTTCAAACATAGGCTTAAAGAAAAGTTTAATGAAAAGAAAAGCTGTTTTTCTTAAAGGCAATGAGTGCCACTGAGCTTTGAATACATCTTAGCTGTGACTGGGAAAGCTTGAGGAGACAACTTCACATCCCCTGAGACTTTACTCTTTCTTACTCCAGACCATGTATATGGGTAGCAGCATGTATTTTACTCTGAGGAAAGCTGGGGTATTTAGGGTGATGCCAGGTTACTACTTGGAATTTGTGCCTTAAAAAGCCTTTAGCATCACTTGGTTTGCAGCCTTGTCTGAACTAAGTCCTTATAGAAGCACTGCGAAACCAGATCAGCCTTGCTTTTCGAGTGCTCCACATGCTTAAGCAGTTAAAAACTCATTATTAAACTTATAGTTTGTATGTAAAAAATAGTCCCCTGGCACTGTTAGAGGGAAGGAAGGAATCCTGGTGTCTGTCTCACCTTGATTTTCAGCGAGTCGGTGTCGTAGGGGCTGGGTGTGAAGTCGGTGTGGACTTTGGCTCTGCCGCAGAAGGGGCCATTGTAGGGCACCTCGTCCTCCAAACGCAGGCTGTCCCTGTTGCTCGTGCCATCAGAGCAGCTGGTCACCCCACCTGGCAGAGAGGCACCTTGAGACACCCCTGCACCAAATGCCCCGACACACAACCCTGCTCAGCAGCCCAAAGGAAAGCCACAATCAACGCCACACAATCAGAGACAGAGAGGATTCTGTGTGGGTTTGACACCTTCCAGGATAACTACATTCAATAAAAATCATGCTACAAGAGACAGAAGAAAATGGGTAGGAGATCTTTCATCAATATCTTCCCTAAAGTAATCTTTTTCTGGTGATGATACTAATAGACTACGCATTTTATTTACAGACTTTTTGAAATATTACCTCTGCAGATTAATAAAATGTACCCTAAAAGTGCAATTTAGGGAAATAATTCTGCTGAACTTCTCCTGTTTATTCAGAGGAATGAAAACAAGTACTGTAGAAGTTATTTTATTTCATTCCACAGCTAGCTGAAACATCAAAGGAACCTGCATTGCAGAGGGAAATTTTAATCTTATCAACATTTCTGCCTGTCATTTTATCCAAGTTGAGCAATAAAATATCAGCAGAGTAATTCAAGCAAATTTGAGCAAGCTCTGCAATATCCCATCCAAATATGTTCTTAGATAAGAGCAGCAGTGTGTTGGAAGTAAACTCCCATATACGATTTTCACAAATCACGTCACAGAAAATGATCATAAAAACGGTTTTGTTTGAGGTGATTGCTTAAGTGCACAGCTCCATCTCAGGGCCAGATTAACTCTAAGTGCAAATGGTCTGGACTGCAGCTCCAGTCTGCACTCAGAGCTCAGGCAGTGCCTGCAGGGTGGCACAGCAGTGTCACCAGGGACAGCTGTGCCTGCCACCCAGCAAATATCCACAGCAGAGCAACACAGAGAGAGGTGGAGGCACATTTATCATCACGGACTCCTCTGCCTTCCAACTGAGACTACCCTGATGGGAGAGGGTTTTCAGAGGGTTTCAGATGGGCTGTGTCTCCCTGCATCATGCCCCAAAGCTGCCAGGTCAGACCCACATCCCCCATCATCTCAGAGAAACTCTGTCTGCCTCACATCTCCAGGGCAAAGGATGAGCTCACAGCCAAGCCACCAGGAGAGGATGCTCGTGTGGCTGCACCCAGTGATTGCAAACCCAGCACTATGGCACTGATAACCCACAAAAATTTATGGCATATATACCAGCAGTATGCACTATAATTCATGGTTTGTTTTTTTCTTCAGTTAATATTTCCACTCTTAAAAACACTCAATTTATTTCTGGATAGATGCATATCTACCCCAGCTGCTACCCATTTAACCAAATTGCACTTTTGTCTGCCAGAATGAAGGGCTCTCTACCATCACATTTTTGATCACCAACTCTGATTCCACAGACATAAGCAATAACTATATTGATCCAGTGACTGAATAAGAAGTATAGGTGTCTTGTACTTACTAGATGAGCTCTGGCCACTGTTCAGACTATAGAGACTTTCCAAAGAGTCACTGGCTTTCAGGGAGACCTTCTCAGTGTGTGTTCCACCACCAGGATCATTGTCATCTTTTCCCTCTTCATTCTTTAACACAAAAATCAAATATTGACCCCCAAGAAACGTATTTTAGAGAATTTTTTTTGTTTGTTCTAAAGCATCATTGGAGATTAGCTCATCATTGCACTTTATTAAGAACTCCTTTGTGAGAGAAGGCATTTTAGAAGACCGTGTCCTACAGTCACTCCCAGTATTTTATGATCCTGGAGAAACTCTGTCTTGTTTCTGCCCCACTCACTTCATCCCATCCCTGCTCAAACTAGGAAGTCTGCAACACACCACAGCAGAGCTGAAAGCTTGTAATTGGAAATTTGTAGGCAGCCTGATAAGATTTTGTCTGCTTGTCTCAGAGAAAGGAATGTAAAGCTCAGTTCTGAAAGCAGGTGGTGAAGAGCTGGCTGACACAGCTGTGTTTTACACTGAACTGTTTTTAAGCTGTGTTTTACACAGTTTTTAAGATGGTGGTTGCTTGGTGGCAGGCTGGGGACACTGGTGTGTTCTAGCACCCTGCTCACCACACTTCCCAACATTCACCCTGTCTTCAAAATCCAGTGCATTCCAGAATTAACAGGTATATATGTTTCTCTCACAAAGTCTAATGGTGTATGAAATTGGCCTCTTGAGTTTATACCAAGAAATCACACCTCAGGAATCACAGTCTGTTCAAAACAATAAGATCCATATTCACAGTTAAGAGAATGTAACAGATAAATTAAATAGGGATGATCTTTCAAACTGAGGGATTTTCCAGCAGAATCCATCATGTTGCCAGCGCATGTGATATCCTGATGCCACTGAAACTTCCTTCAGCACATAGTATTTGGGGAAAAATTAGTTATTAACCATTTAGATGATGAAGCAAAGATGACAGTGCATGTGTGAAGAAGACTCATACAGGTTCATATCAGGCAGAGCACTGAAATGAAGAACTATATTGGTTCTCAACAAGAACTGTGCTTGTTACACCAGCCAGCAGCATAACAGATTAGTCAGGAGGCTGGTGCTGATTGTCATCATCTCCTGAAGGAATGAAGATCATGCTACATGTGTGTCCAAACAGATAATCCATTGAATTACTGTCATGGAAATTGTTGCTTTAAATGTGCAGAAAGGAAATATAAAAATATAATATAAAGATAATGGATTGCATTTTAGAAAAAAAAAAAAAAAAAAAGAAAACTAAACTAATGAAATACGGATCCTTGTCTTGGTCCTCCAAAAACTATTTAAAGGTATCCTGTGAAAAATTATTTTGTACTTGTGAGGTTCCTCATTTATTTTCCTTACTTGATATTGACACATGAGATAGGATGCAGACTAGCTAGATTTTTTTGGATTGTTAAGTGTGACAAGTTTTTTGCCTTGTGTTTTCAAATTTTGGAACTTACTGATAAAAAGTACTGAGAAAACGGGGTTTGCAGTATATGCAAGATTATGCTTTTAATGTTTAGTAAAGATAGTTTCACTGAGATTAGATAAGGTAAAAGGAGATAAGGCATATGAGTTGGAATTCTCTAGGATGCTGGCTGACCTCTACAAAGTGGACTTCAGAAATAATTATTGTATAGGGAGATAAATTCTTCTAATGAAGCTCTTTGTACAAACTGAGCATCAGACTGATGATAGGGTTCAACCAATACTCCCTTGTGTCCACATCAGGAGGGGTGTTTTGTGCTCATACACACATACTCATACAAATGTTCCTTGATGAAAAAGCAAAATTAAATGATGTAAAGCTCTTATGATTCTCTTGGGCCCTTACTATGTGATTTGTGTGTACACTAAAGTGCACATGAAAGAACAGGTACATAACAAAAGCTGGCTTAATTCAGTATGTGTTGATACCCTGGTTTTATGGTTTGTCACAGCTGAGGACAGTTGAAACATGAACAGAAAAAATGCACATAATATTTTTACTGTATTTCCAACAAACACAGGGCTCTTAGGGTGTATTTACCATCTCCTCAGAGAGTGCCTTGATGTATTTTTTGCCCATCTTTTTCTTCATGGTAAGTGAAATGGCTCTCATCTTCTTACTCAGACTTCCTCCATTGTTTGCTGCTTTGATTTGTACTGTTTCCCCAATGTCACTTATAGTCTCCAGCTCAGATATCTGTTTTGAAATCAAAAAGCAAGCAATAACTCACCACAAAAATACATGCAGCATACAGAAGCAGGAATTACGGGGAAATATTAAGGACACTAACAAAGTTAGCATGACAAAATTCAGTCATGGCCATTTTACTTGGAAACTGTGTGCCTAAACAGGTTTGCAGAACAATACTCTATGCATGAATGACAGAAAGAAGATATGTTATATGGTAGGTGATGCTGTTTCCCATTATTTATTGTCCCTAATATCAATAAGAATTGAGGGAAATTTTGCAGAGGTCTTGAAAACAAAAGTGAGACACCTGTGGGTTACTTGTAAAGTGCTGGTTATTTTGGGCATATACCAGTGTGAAGTGCAGGCTTTTTTTTAAATTTGTTTCTATTTTAACATCAAAGTGCCAAAGTTGTATATTTTTGTCAAGACCTCAGCCACTCAGATGCAGGTATATAAGCAAAATTCTCACTGATGTAAAATTTACACAATAGCTTTCCCAGTTTTTGCATAACTGCCATGGGAAAGGGAACTGCAGAAATTTAAATTTTGTGTTCTACAGACCTCAGCTGAATCATCTGTCTTGGATACCGAGTGATGCCTGAAACGGTCAAAGCTTCCAAAGCTGCTGGTGCGCTGCAAAAGAAGAAAAGACAAACCTTCACCCACTGCTGGTGGTCTGCTTTGTTCTCTTATCAAGACTTAAATAAAGCTGTCAAGCCACCTGTTGGTGTTAAAAATTCCTTCCATATCAGTGGACCATGAACTGCTACATCCAGCTAGAAACAAAATATGAGATGCTTGTAGGGGAAAAAAATGGTGACTGTACAGGCAGAAGTAGAAAAATACAAGTAAGAGAAACAATGCTGCTTCAAATTAGGTAATGAATATGATGATGAGTTGTTCTACATCACATTTCTTCTGTGTATAGATAACCATTCATTATTTACAGATAAGAAAGGCTTGTTTATGAGTTTCAAAAAAAAAAAAGGTGTTTTCATAAATATGATACAAGCAATAGACTTGGTTTTGGTGTTGTAAATTGTGGCAATTCATACAATGCATTTTTGCAGCTGGGGAGACAATTTATGGTTCTTTACCATCAGGAATGAGCAAGGACTGCTGAGGATTATGAACACATCTCATCCAAAATGCACACATTGCAGAGGGAGTAAGTAACAGAATAATCAGGCAGGCCTCGTGCTTTTCTTCCCAATTTCCCAATTAGAAATTCTGGTTTTCAAACATAAATAGGTACAATTTTCTGCCATGCCACAGCTTTACCTGGCATTAAAAGGCTTCATTGCCTGAGCTGTGCATTAAGAAACAGTGAATGGATTGCTCTGACTTCCCTCTAGTTTTTCCTCTTTCTGCATGTGGATAAATGACATGAAAAGGAGGGAAGTGGCACAGCAGATTTTGAGGAGTGGGCTCATACAGAAATACCTGTCAGACATGACAATGCAGAGCTGCCTGACACTGCACTGCCCATGGTGGCAAAATGCATAAAATTGGCATTGATGACAAATTGGGAGTGTGTCCCTAGAAAGAGCCAGAATTTGGACATCTCTCCACTTTACAATGTCTTTAAGAGCTTGTTTTTATGTCTTCACCAATACTCACAGCTAAATCTAGAATGACTCGGGATTTTATAAGTACTTCCCTCTTCCATACTAAATGAAAGTCTTTAATGCAGTATGAGAGTTCTTGAGCAGGGTTCACTATTATATATGAGGCAGTACAAGCTCAGGCTATTTTGAGTATTCAAATTCCCCTCTGCAGGGGAAAAAAACACTAAACTAAAATATCAAACCACAAAATAAATACATTCTGCCTGATTTAATAGGTGATTTCAGACTATCTGGGCTTCAGCTTTTCCTGTACTTGTTCATCCTTTTGCCTTGCCCATGTGATCTCAGACAAACTAGTTCCTTGTTCCATTGCTTTCTTCCCCCACCTCCAGCCACATGAGTCATATTTTCATCTCCCCCAGGTTTCTAAAGCCTCCACTGTGCACTCTTCACCTGGCATCTCCAGCTCCCTCCTTTTGCTGTCAATCCAGGAACTTCACAAACCTCCTACCCCAAAAAATGAATGTGGACATAGAAATGGGAGCCTGAGCAGAGTCAGATGGAAGAGGAAAGTCTACCCATATTCTGGCTCCATATTCTAAGCAGCACAGCTTAAAAGAATAATAACATCCTCTTCCCCTTCTGCCCCCCCATATTTCTGGGCTCATCTAACCTGAAAAATATTTCAGCCAAAGGTTATTTGAAGAAGCTGACCCAGATTTGTGAATATTTTTGGACAACTATAATGACATTTACTATTCACTGAGGGGGGAAAAAAAGAAGACAAAATTCACACAGCTCTCCTCTTAACTGATTATAAAATCTCTGTTATCTAAACATTGTGGTGCATTTGTTTGTTTTCACATTGTGACAATTGAAAATGACAATTTGAATCCTACATTTAATTTTTATCTAAAATTCCCATAAAGAGCTTTGCTATTAAGTAGATGAAGAACATCCTGTGACAAGGGGTTAGCTCAATAGTATGATATAAAAACACAGCCCTGAGGATTATGGTTCTATTAGACAGGATTAACACCTTTCACTAGCTTGTCAGCCCAGCCAAATGTACCCTGCAGCACAGAGCAGGAGGAAGAAGGGAGCCTGGGATTCACAGCAATACTGGGAAGGGAAAGTACAAAATTGTCTCAGCAATCTCTAAACACACACTGACCTTTCTGTTGCATTCCAACACTTCAATATGTCTAGTAGGAATAAGTGCCTATTAAAGTGCAGATGTGCTTGAAATATTTTAAAATGAACAAGAGGGAAAACATTGTTTAGTGTTGGTCTTACCTATAAACAGCTTGAGCACAGGGAAATCAGTTATTCTTTTTTGACCCTCGAAACAACCTTATATCCTACATGTGCAGGAGCCTTGGGCTATTTGGTGGTGTACTTCAGTGTTGCTTCATCCTTATTAAATATTAATAAGGGTTACAGGATGATTTCCACTGTTCTAGATAATGGTCTTGCTGCACTGGAGAGCACTGAATAGGGCTGCTTCAGCAGTTCTCTATACTAACTTTTTCCATTAAGTAATCAATAGGCACCACCTTTTAAAAACGTATCCAACCCCATTATACTGATAACGAAAAGCAGATTTAGGAGCTCCTGGCTGCAAAGGAAATGGGACTATTACTTTCAGTAGTGTCAGTCACTGCATTAGTGTCAGGGAACACCTACTTTGTGAAGATATGGACAGGCCTTATTTCCAGGTGAAGGGAAGCTTTTAAAGTAAATGCAAAGCTGCTAAGAGAAAATACGCTATTGACTTTTGATACCAGGATTCAGCATCCTATAAAGTTAAGTGGTTTTTCTGGCTCAATTCATGCAAGAGCTACCCAGGGATATGTTAAGCAAATATGAAATTGCTCAGTAAAATCTAATGGAGGCCTGGGCAGAGGGAGAAACAACTGTGTTTTCCCGCACAAGGACTGATCAAATAATTTCTATAAATCAACGTATTAACTTTCATCTCTTCTCATTCAGTATCCCACACTAACATGACAGAAAATATCAAAGATACTTTAAAGTATTTGAAAACCTTCTTCCATCTTCTCCTATATAATTTATTCCCTGAAATCCAGGAAATTTAAATAATCCTTTTAAAGGGATAAGTGCTATGTAATTGTTGGTTATTTTAATTTGGACAGTCTGAAGTTGATTGTCTAGTTTTTCTGTAAATAGCCTATCATTTTTCCCTAGAAAATAATATGGTATGGTATGCAAATAGTAAGACAACAACAGGTTCTGCAATAATCCATGTCTTTCTTTTATAAAACATCCTTCCCTTGTAGGACATATCATAGGAGAAGTAAGTTCTTGTCTGTGACAAACTAGTCAGAGCTTCCCTGTGTCTAAAAACAACCTTTGAGCCAAAACTGACAGCAGTTATCCTGATAAATAATCATTATGGGAGATATTAATCCCATATTTTTCTTTGGACAATTCACACTGCTCACCAGTCTGGTTGCCTGCTGTCTAAAATTCTGGCCCATTATATTTTGCTTCAAGTCCTATTCAAAATATCTTTTAAGTCCCAGTGTGTGTCAAAGGCTTTGTACTGACCCTCTCACACAAGTAAATCTCTTAAAATTCCTCCATGCATTTTAATTTTTAGCTTCCATTCATCCTTAGACTACCCAAACCATGTAAGCTGTATAGGGGCAAACGTGGACACTGGAAGTAATAAAAAGGGAGCTCAGCATGTTGCTCAATTTCCTTGCCTGCCACAGACACTTGTCTTCTTCCCTCTTTTTTGAAAGCAGACACAGCAGCCCTCAAGAGAACAGCCTGTTCTTGCTGCTCTGATTGATGGAGATAAGTGGAGATCAGGATTTGATTCATTTGTTCTATTCTCTGATGGTTCTTGTCCCTTCAGAAGGAGGAGACCACTCTGAGAATGAAAGAGTTACCAAGTAGGGATAAATATTTCCACTCTGCTAGCTTATCTTCTTGCATAGATAATCAAAAGAATTGTCTCCTACTTTCCCAGATGGCAAGATAGCAATTTATAGCTTTTTGGATGTTCTGTGGGGAAAAAAAAACCACAAACGAAACACCACCAAAAAATACTCACTTCAGTATAAAGAATGAGAATTTCCATAAAATATTACTCAACTCTCCAAAGGGTAAGGGAAGCAACAAAAGAGAAAACATAATGACCTCTCTACCACATGGAATTTTTCCTATTTACACATTAATTACACATACAGAACTTCTGACCACTAACCAACACATTAATATAACTTTATAGCCCACATGAAACACGGCCTAAACCTTGCACTTCACCAGTCAAAAGCAATAAAAAAGATACAGCTTGTTCCTGCTAACTCAAATAGAGCAATCTACTGAAATGGCATTTTTAACTGGCTTAAAAATGACTCTATAAAAGACTGGTTGTTATCATGGCCTGGTGTTCAGTAGCTGCATGGAGGTGGGGGAGAGAGGGAAGCAAAGTGAACTTTGAACAGAACTGCCACCATGAAGCCTCAGATCAAACATCCTAATTTTAACAGCGGGAAAGGGCTGGAGAAGCAAAGGTGAATTAAAAAAAAAAATGAGTTAATCATACCTAACACTCCCCCAGGTGAACAAACTGCGCTCTCCAAAGCAAACACTGAGCAGCTGTTTTATCAGTGCCTCTAAGTGGTACCAGTCTCCCCAGCCTAAATCCCTGCTGACACGAGGCACGTAGTTCCCAATAGCCCAGCCAGAGTCTCCACTACAAACCCAGCCTCCAGTGCTTCCTCCCAGGGGCACCTTGCCCTGGGCAGGCACTGGGGCAAGCTGAGAACAAGGCACAGCTGCTGCTCTTGGACTTAAACCAGGGTGGGATGGCTTGCAAGGTCTGCAAGTCTTCCTCTGGAAAGGGGCAGCTGTGTAGGACATCTGAGCAAAGAGGCAGTTTAGTCTGGCAAAAAATGTGCTGCGTTGATTAAACAACTTTGTGAGGGACTAAATAAGGAAGCAATTTAGGCAACGCCAGTCTTAACACTCAGAATGTTTCCTGCAAGTGGGTATTGCAAAATGTGCAAGGGGGGAGAAGGGATCAGACTCCAC